ATATTTTACCAAATGCGCTACTTGGGCTGAGAACAGCTCTCAAGGAGAGCAATGAGCACTACTGCTGAACTTCTATATGAAACTAAACTAAACTTGTTTTTTTTTTTTTTTTTTTTTTTTTTTTTTTTTTTTTTTTTATACACTAAATTCTGAAACTGATCTTTTTGAATAGACCAGTAACTTCAAAGCTGCACACAGCAGCTTAAATAAAAAACCAACTGGATCACATGCAACAAAAGCAATGTTTATTCACAAAGATTTAAAAATGTGTTCACATGTGTTTGTGCGATATGATGCAGTACAACAGTCACTGCAACCACCTTATGATGGCCTTTTTAAAGCAATCAAGCATGGCGCAAAAGTTTTCTAATTATCCATTCATGAAAAATCTGCATCAGTCTCAACTGACCATGCGAAACTAGAATTTAAGTCTAATACGAATATGGATACTTGCTTTTCACGTACTGTATATCCTAGATCTGCAAATCATGCCAAACCAAATATTCGTCAAACTCAACTCATTCCGGTGGCATGTGCATTTCACTGATTTTTTCATGCCATCAGATGATAACTGAGAAGGAGTATGCAGGACAGCCCACAAAGATAAGAAATTCAGTCCGCAACGTTAGCAATGTTCGAGCTGTTACAAAGTGCAAGATATTGCAGATGCATAATGCGCTCAGTAACTGCTCCATTCGACATTTCAAAAGTCATAAATTCATAGCTAGTATCAAGGGATTTTAGCGATCTGCACTATGTCTGTACCAAAGCATCTCAATTTCAGGGAGGGTGATGGATAGATGATCCTGTTTCTCCTCTAAAATTGTAACGAATGTAACGAATCACTGTAACGAATCAGGGTGTGTAAAATAAAACTGAAAAAATTAAGAAGGCATAACCACTTCAGTCTGCAAACTGTTTTAAACAAGGCAAGAACTCGGAATGCCCTTAAACCTTCAACTAGAAAAACTCGCTGCTCACAAAGCAATTCTTATCTTGCCTATCATTCAATATTAATTATGAATTGTCATTACTGTATTAACCCATTAGCCGTTGGTGTTGCGTTGACGCAACGGTCAAAATAAATGCATATATAAATATAACTACCTAAGATATTTTATACCAGCAAATGATTTTGTGTAGGGAATATTATGGAAGATTATTTCTGTAGAAAAATATTTGCCTTCAACAATCCTTTTGTTTATAATAATTAATCTCATACTTTGAGCAAAATTTTCGACCGGGTATTTTTGCTGAAAATATTTAATGAAAGAATCGCCGTCTTTATGAGTGATCTATTTTTAGTCAAGGTCACCATTCATCAGAACATTACAGATATTTATATTTGTGTTGGGAAGGATGGGAAAACAGATGTTGCGCTGCCGCAACGCCAGCAGGAAACGGGTAGTCAATCTCCTTTTTCACTCATTCCTTTCGATGTTCTGGTTCATGTTCTGGTTGTTTAAAAATGCCTAGAACGAGGTATCTTACATTAGAAGAAGCCCTTCAAAGATTTTTTGATGAAGAAACAGATGATGATAATGTTAATAATGACCAGAATGAAACTGATATTGTTGTTGTTCCCCCAGAAATTGCAGAATCTAGTGACGAAGAAGAAAGGAATGGCAATGTTTTAAATAATGATAACGATATTTTACCAAATGATACTGCTGGGAAAGTTAAAATTCACGTAAGAAGTAAGTTTCAGCCTTCTAAAAGCAGTTATAGTCATACTAAAAAGTTTAAAAAGCAGAAGACGGAAATCTTGAAGTGGATAAGAAAGGAACTGTTAGTTATGTCTCAGGAAGAACATGAAGAAAGAGATAGAGAAATTATAAAAGACAAAATACAAGGTAAAACTAGTACACAGATTTTCAATTTTCGTTTTGGTTTAGACATTCACTCTCTTTTCGTTGAACAGACAAATATATACACTCAGCGAAAAAAAAAAAAAAGCACCCAGAATTTATTGCATCTGGAGCCTATATGAGAAGATTTATTGGGATATTATTGCTTACAGGATATCATTCTTTACCTCAAGAAAAAATGTATTGGTCTTTTGATAAGGACATTTCTGTTCCTGTTGTACGAGAATTGATTACAGTACAGGAATATGAAGCAGAATTTGCATTTGACAATATTCAAATTGACAATACTGATAAATTATATGAGGTGAGACGATATCTAAACTTACTAAATATCACCACTTTTTACTACTGGAAATATAAAGTCTCTTTTAGATTTCAGATGCGAGAATGCAATATTCTTTTTGCAAACTCCTATTGAGAGTGTAGAATCAGCCAGAAATAGATCAGCAACAGGAAGACCTAGTAAATTCAGCATTAAAAAACCATTGCATGGAGATGGTAGACATTTTATCCTAAAGTCCGTTGATAACAAAAGACTGTTGTAAAGAGTAACAATAGTGTAAAATATGTAATGTAGCTTTACATCATGATTGTAATAAAGCTTTTCATGCTTGAATCTTTCAATTGAAATAAACTGTATTTGTAAATGAAATACAATGTATATTTTAATATTAAATTAATTACAAGTAAAGTGATTTGTAGATTTATAAAACATTATACAGCTAAAAAATAATCCTGCGCTCCACTCAAAAGAAACATCACACGAGTAGAATCCTACTCACTAAACATCCGTAGTCTTCTTTCCCTGATGTTGCGCGAACGCAACATTCGCGTTTTCCACAGGTAAGAGCAATTTTTTTATTTTCAATGTAAATTTATGTTATAAATGCTTTATTTAATATTTGTTATTATTTTCATGAGAAAAGAAACATTCCTTGTAGTTTTGGCGGTTAATGGGTTTCTTGCTTTTTGTACATTTATAATAAATTTGTTTTTAGTTATATACGCAGCAAGTAGTATTCAACTTAAACAAATCATAACTAGTAAGTTACCATTGCTTACATGAAATTGCCATATCAGCACAACGTACCGTCGTCACCCACAGGGGAAGGTACAGGATGAAGCAAGATCAGCACCTGTGCATCCATTTAGACATATCAGGTATTGTCAGGCCTTTTTAACACCGAAGCTTCTGCTCCCAAAAGAAATCCTTGAAAAAATACCCCAGGAAGCAGTCCAAGAGTCCCTCACCCCTCTTTCACAATTGCCAACTGTTTGAGAGGATTTCAGCTCACTATGTATTTTGAGTGACTCCTTGCTGCACAGGCACTATATACTTACAAACAGCCATTGCCTTCTCTGAGATTCAGACCTGGGCCCTTTGGTACAACAGTCATCATCACTGATCAGGATACTGTCTGGGCATCGTGGGAAATTTACAATTTTAAATACTTCCCTTATGCCTGCATAAAGTAAATTTAAATCTATATTAGCCATTTTACCTTATTACCCCACCAATAGCAGGTAGTTAAGACCACTGAATACCAGTAATGCAACCCACATATGAGCCCAAGCAAATGGGGTAGTTGCACGGTTGGTTTTCTCCATGTGTAGTGTGAATACATGGCAGTTTCTCTTACAAAGTCTTCCAAAAAGGATCATTCCCCATTCAGCCATTCAGCAAATAGTCTTCATATGCTTTGCTATATACAAAATAACTTGAACTTTTTGCAATTCTGAGCTCATTAAAAAGTTATCATAATAAAGTCATTATAAATTAAAATATTATTACAAACCATTATAAGTTAAAATAATTAAGTCATTATAAGTTAAAATATTTCATAATTTGTCTTTCACATTTTGCTTTTCTAGACTCTATATATGTATGTATATGTCTAGACAGAATGCCATTTTAGAAATTTTCAAGCTAGAATAAAAAAAGCAAGGGGTGGAGGAAACTCTAAAGGTGAAGATCAAAACTGTAATAAAAATAGATTAGGAAATACAGTTCAAACTCCGAAATCTGGATGTCCAATATCGGGAATGATAAAAAATCCAAACCACCAGCCTAGAAAAAAAAAACAACTGAAAGCATCCAGATTTTATATTATGTCCAAAGGGGCTTTTTACTTTTATTTATTAAATATCATGTTCTTTGCACTTAAAACATAAAATTCAATTCAACAGCAATATCACAAAATAAAAAGAGCATGTCTTTAGAATTTCCGATACACAGTATCGCGTGCTGAAGATTTAAAAAAAAAAAAAAAAAAAATTCTGTACAGTGTTGCCAGGGCTAGCTTTGAAATCATCAAGTTTTTTACTCAAAAACTCATAAATGCTTTACAAAATATGAGACAAATAATAAAACAAATTCGAAATTTGAGCTTCCAGATGCCCATATTCAGGTGCAGACATACGTTATTCAAAACTGGATGGTTGTAGGTACTGTTTTTTTATTACAACGCGAGAAATATACATTTACGCAGATTCTTCATTATTTAATTTCCTTAAATATAATACAGGGCTCTAATATTTGATGAAAACAATTTAAAAAGTGATTCGCCATTTACAGTGAATCAACCAAAATGCCAAAAATGAAATTAATAACCCTTTTGGGTTATAAAGTAAAATAAAAAAATATTTAAGAAAATCTAGGAATAGAGAATATTGATTAAAGCACCTGCTCCAACAAAAGGAAATAGATGTGCCATATAAATGGGATTTTTCTTGGGACAAAATGACATCTCTGCACGTCAGATTAAAACAACTATAGATGTGGCACTACGACCAATGACAATACACTGACGGCCAGGATTACACGTTCCACTCTTTAGTTACTGTGGGGAATTAGCATTTTTCTATCTAGCCTAAATAGTGAAGGTGAAGGAAGCCCAATGTTGCCATGTCTTTATTTCATCTTATTATATTTAAACAGATGATCTAATATTAGGAAATTTCCTAAATCCAGAAATGCTGAAGTCCTAATTATTTCAGATATTGGAATTTGCATTAATTAAATTAATTGGATATAAATGGAATTGTAAAACAATGTTAAGCATATTTTATCTCATTATTTATTGAACTTTGGATTCGACAGTATAGTTTCATTCAAAGTGTACTGATATTTACCTCGTCGAGACAATCGGGTATCTGGATCAGTATCAACAAACAATTTCATGTGGAAAAGTTCTCTGATTTCAGGGAAATAAAATACCAGAATACCTTCAACTAAAACAACATCTGCTGGATGGACAGTAATAGATTCATCTTGCTTTCTGAAAAATGAGATAACATATTTTTAATATATAATATAAATAATTTAATAATAAGTGATAATAAATTATTTAAATTTAATAATAAGTGATATACACTTAAAAGATTTAACTAAATAACTTTAACACTAAAAAATTAAATAAATTTAATAATAAGTAATACATTTAAAAGATTTATAGGTAATTTCAGGTTATTTACATTTATCAGGGAGTTTCCACAAGAAAATTTCTTCATAAATACCACCCAAAAATAAACTATATTTCATTTATTACATGGTAATTTACTTGGAAACTGAATGAAAAATAAATATTTATTGTATTAAATATTAAAAAACAGCAATACAGAAATTACATTTTCTAATGGGTGCATAAAACAGTCAACACAACAATAAGGCATATGATGAAATCTAGGGAAAAAATAAAATTTTCATATAAATAAAAAATATTTCTCTTATTCTGAACAGGACAACACCAAAGAAAAGAAATGTGGATCACTGACAAAAATTTCTTTATGCCCCAATAACATTCATCTCTATATTGGTTTCAGGGCACAGGGGAAAAAAAAAAAACTTATGTGTACACCACATGACTTCCTTGTACAGAATATTAAATTATATGCATTTTTTTCTGCATTTCATTTAAACTTATTTCCTTGAATTTCATCAGAGATATATTTCTCATCCAATTAATTCAATTCTCCCTTCATGAAGGCAAAAATACATAAAAACTCAAAATATCTACATTAAAAATTAATGCCAAATACAGTTCATACAATTTTTTTTTTTTTTTTTTTTTTTTTTTTTTTTTACGATCAAAATTACAGTTTCTACGCAAAAACAAGCCATTTGACCAGTGGGCAAGAAGGCAGATTTTTTGGTGCACAAAACTGAAAGTTTACTCTCAGCCGAGTTTGGTCTCACTCAGCAAAAAGACATCGAAGGCTTAGAAACTGATTTAATTTGTTGTGAATGCTATGCTGAGTCAATATATGGAATAATTTAAAAACTAATATGATAATTCTGGAGCATAATTTAATTTGAAATAATAAAAGAAGACATTACTTTGCTGTTAAGAAGTTTAATTTCTCTAGATTGGCAACAAATCCACTATTCTGCTAAGTTTCAAATGTAACAAATACGGCTGCTATGGTAAAAAAAAAAAAAAAAAAAAAAAAAAAAAAAAAAAAAAAAAAAGTTTAACCGCACTTAAGCAACTTTTAAATTGTTGATAATTCTACAACTATAACATGCAGGTTAACTAAAGGCATAAAAACCTTAACCAGAAGATAAGAACAACATAATTATTTTTAAAGCAAAAAATGCACAACTTACAAACATATAAAAAACAAAGTAACTAAGCTCACTGAGCCAAGTAACAAAGTTCATATATATAATATATACACTTATGGTGCGGCCAATTGCAACCAAAAAGGGAGGTGCACATGTACTTGTTTTAGCAATTTCAAATACATAATTTCAACACTCTGAAGCTATTTGTCTTTGAGTTATGTGAGATATATACATACATACGTACTGATGCGATAAAAAACTCTTCTGAATCCATTTTAAATAAGTTTCATAATTCAGTTTGGGGAAAAAAGGGTCCTTTATTTTGTCCTTATGTGCAGATGTCAAGGAAAAACATAATTAATCCTTTGAGGGGCGGTATATAAAATAATTTAAATTGTGGTAAAATTTTGCATAAATTATAACTTATGTACCCTACGCATTTAAACAGGTCTTAGAAATTGCTGTGTTGAGAATACCGACTAATTTGTCAATCGAAATTTTTTCGTTTTCAATAACCTCTGTCACTTTCTTCGCTATCGGAAGCAAATTATAATGACGAGGAATTTGATTTAAATCATATCAAAGACGGAGTACATCGAGATGAAATACTACATTTAGTAAGGAATTATAAGCCAAATAAAATAAAAATATCTGCCCTGAAGATAAGGATAGTGCTGACAGATCAACTTCCAATTCATTGCGCCGCAGCGTTAAAGATAAACAAACGTTAAAGTTTAGATAAACAAAGGATATGCCTTTATCCATTTTTTACAGCAATTCCACTTTTTGTTTAATGGACTTCGAAACATACTTTTGCTTTGTAGATCCTTTACATGTTAGTAAAGATATATCAGAAATTCTATTTGACATAATCGAAAGTTCAAGCCTACTTTTATAAAACTGCTCTAACAGTCTGCAAAAAATAATAAGCCAAATCCAAATCGAAGATTAAGGAACAACGCAATCTGCAACATTAACTGAATTAGAAAATTTTAGCTTAGCTTATATCGTCCGTTATACATTAAACGCGCATTCGTAAACATATTTTGCGCACGCGCACACGCATACTCGCAGCCGTAAAGGTTTTTCGCGCATGCGCAGAAAGTTTGTAGCTTTGAGGTCCGGATTATAGATCATTCTGGATTATGGGTGTCCGAATTAACGACTTTTGACTGTATTATCTTTTCCACATTTCACTGTATTTTTTGCTCGACAGATCATGTTACATTAGTTTTCGCTTTGTTCCACTCATTGCTTTCCACACAGAATCATTTCGTTTAGTACACTGCTGAAATTTTCTTTACCCCTTCTGAAATACAGGGACCTAATTCTGATCTCTACTGAAACTGATTTTAAAATCCATGACAAAATATAATTGCTTTTCTGTCTAATTTTAAAATATGTAGTCTTTTTAACATTAAATAAAGACAAATATATGGTATTTGTCCATAAACCTTCTTGTTACGTAACCTGGGAACAACCTTTTGTCAGATAATTAGGGACAAATGTTATTAAAACATAGTTACACTTTTTTTTTTCGGTTGTCTATATATATATGCATTGTCAGCTAAATGTCTTGTTGGTTGATCAGTTGCCCATGTAGGCTAAATGTCCTGTTGACTAATTGTCTCATTGGCTAAGTGGTTGTCAGCTAAGTGTCACGAATCCATGAAAGATATCTATGCAGTAAAGCTTTTTTTCTTCTGTCCTACCAGTATTCTATGATGATGACATTACAAGGCATGTTAAGTTTTATTTAGGAGAATATCTGACATCAGGAAAATTCCTATAGATAATTCATGTTCTTGCACCCACTAGATTGATTTTATTCATTGAAGATATCAGACTCTTAACATTATAACCGTTTGACTAGACAAAGGTGAACTTAAAATATAAACAACAATGCTGAATATTTTAATAAAAAAATATTTGACTTCCAAGATTATTTTGAAAAACTTCTTAACTTATAGAGAATAATACAGTTATGACATTTATATACCTACAATAAAATTTTACCATACATGTATTATATTGAAGCAACTTACCTACAGTTTGTAATGAAATCATATACAGGAATTTGTACAGTTTTGCCAGCAAGAATTTCTTTTAAAACTTTGTGCATTAACTCATTATCAAATGCATCTGAAACAAAAGATATAGTTTTCTACTAGATATAATAAAATTTTTAAAAAAATATATATCAGCAAGAAATATTTTGCACAGTAGCTCTACACCAGCGATTCTCAACGTTTTCTTTTGGCAGCTGTACACTTTTAACAATATGAAAATTTGGCGGCATACTAGCAATAAAATAAATTTAAAAGAATTTTACTTATCTGTAATACACTATGTAAAGTAGTTATGACAATAATTTCCTATGTTAAATAAAATAATATGCATGACAAAGACAAAGAAATGTTTATTGAGAAATTAATTAATTATAAGAATACATTTAATGCAAAATTTGAGCTTGATGATTTTTGATAATTTCGTTTATATTTGGTTATAAAAATGATAATGTCACTCTCATTTCGTCACCTACATTTAAAAGTTTTAATCTTTTTTTCATTTTTAGATTTGTTAATGCAGAGAATCCAAATTCACACTAATAAGATATAGAAAATTGTAACAATATTTTTAGAGCTTTTTTGGTTATTATGGGATAATCGCCTCTAATTTTAATCCAAAATGAATTAATTGACTCTTCCGAATGTTTAAAAATTAAATCTCGATTATTACACAGCAAAATTAGTTCTTCCTCTTCATTCAAAGTTAATTCATATACAGATGTATTTGTTATCACAAATGGATTACCAACCCAATCAAATATTCTCTAGTGCTGTCAAATGGTCAATAACAACTTTATGAATAGTTAGTTTTATAGGAGTCTTTTGGAACTGACTCAAACTTTTCCAAATTACGTTTGTATGCTTTCTTCTTCTATAAAGTTACTTTTTTGGGGGGGAATCCCACAAGTTTGTTGCGTTTAAAATATTTTCTTTCAGTCCTTGCATACATGAACTTATGTTATTAAAAATAACAAATATCAGGTAAGTAAACTAGTTTAGTACACCATATTTTATCTTCCTACAAATAAACAAAACCATAATTTTTATCTTGTTCAAAAAAATTTTCATCTCGTTTTTTAATTCAAGCACGCAAGATTAAACCTTTCCTCATGACAACCACCTTACATCCATGCGCAGTATCAAGTATTTGTATTTAGCTTCCATAACTTCGCATAAATTACTAAATAAGTGACTAGTTTTGATTTTATATAATTAACCATTTTAACACATTGTTCCAACATAATTTTCAATTCTGATGGCTAATATTTTATAATAAATGCTTCCTGATGCCAAAAAAAAAAAAAAAAAAAAGGTGACTAATATATCTGCATTCATTTCTTTTACATGTGGCAGAAATCTTTTTGTCCAGTCATAGCGGGAGCAACAAGTGTGCAAATCCCAATACATAAATTCCATGAAACTTTCATTTCTTGTAAATACAAGTTAATTACATCGAAAATATGTTTTCAGTTGCATAATCGAATAACTTAAGACAGCATAAAGATTGATTAATTATATCATTTTCATGAATGAACTGAACAAATGCAATTAATTATGCCTTTCCCGTAATGTACATTGTTTCATCTATTTGTAGAGCAAAGTTTGAATTTGCAAGAGTTTTTGCAGCATTTTCTTTATTTCATGACATGTCTTTAATTCTGCGATGAATTGTATCATTTGAAAGTGGTATTTTACGAATAACAAATATCAATATCCACTGATCCACCAATCATTATTTTTTAAATTTTGCAACAAATTGGTAATATAATCTTTTCAAACAAATTATTAGGTTGTAATTTAACTGCAATTAATTTGGCTATTTCATAAGAAGCTCTCTGAGCTTTTTGAGACACACTAAGTTTAGGTTAAATATCACGCTGAATAACTATCAAAAACAAAGTCCAACATTAAGAATCATTGTAAATTTCGTTGTTGTTTTCACACACTATAAAGCATAAGTTGACACTATAAAGCATAAGTAAGTATAAAGATAATGCATAAGTTGTTTTTGACACACTAAGTTGTTTTTCAAAAACGTTTACTTATTTGAATTTTGCAGATAATGATTTTTGAAATTAGCTTTTGTCTTTTGATGCAAGTGAAGGATGGTTAGTCAGAAAGTGACGCTGGAGCTCGCTCAATACCATAGCACTATTTGATAATTGACTACCACATACCAGGCACCCAGGAACAACTATATCATTTTTCATTGTAGATAGATATAAATTCACATTTTAAGAAATCATCATTATATTTCTGATGAACAATACATTTATTGCAGAAGGAAATATCTTAGCTCTCACTGGGCATCGGCCCTGATCATTAATATCATCAGTTTTATCACCGTTTTCTTCTTTTTAACCATTTATCTATTTCAGAAGATTCTTTTAAGATAAAAATAATTTTGTTAAAAAATTATAAAAAAGCCGAATCCTGTATTACCTTTCAATAAGTTTTATTTAAGTTTGAGAGCACAATACTGCATAGCATATATCAGGGGTGGCCAAGCTCCTTGATAATCCAAGGCATTTTTCAAAATTTGAAATTTTTCGCGAGCCACCATTAAATACATATTTAAAAGGTATGCAAAAAAGGTATTAAAAATGTTTTTACAGAAATTATATTTATTGAAAATATATAAATACACAAAATTGTGTATTGAACTTAAATATTCAAAATTAACACATTTATTTTACTTCTCTTGATAATTCTCTAAAATTGGTGAATAATTGGGACAGCACTTCTCAGTAATTCTTTGATATGCTTGTTATAATACTGATCGTATTTGGATCTCACGAATTTTAAAGTGGAATAAATGATTCACATAGTAAGTTGTTCCGAATATTGAAATAATTCGAGAAGCAGCCTTTTTTAATTCAGGATACTTCGATTCTGGTACAAATTTCCAAAATTCAGTAATCGGCGTCGATTTATATTTTAATTGTAGAGCTTGATCCTTCTTGCATCATGGACGGAAATGAAATTTGTTATAACTTTGCATATTTGTTGTCTGTAATTTAAAAGACATTTCGAAACACATACAGAATGATAATAATTTTTAAAAAATATAATAACACAAAAATGATAAGGGAACTGGGGTACATTTATCGAGAGCCACAAATAATCCTTCAAAGAGATGCATGTGGTTCGCGAGCCGCAGATTGGCCCCCCCTGGCATCTCTATTAATTTTAATTCTTCAGATACTTTTTGAGTCATAATTATATTGGAAATGGAAAACTCACTTTGAATTTATGCTAATTTCAAATGGATTCAGAAAAAAATCAAGAGACCATGGACGGAAATGAAATTTGTTATAACTTTGCATATTTGTTGCCTGTAATTTAAAAGACATTTAGAAACACATACAGAATGATAATAATTTTTAAAAAATATAATAACACAAAAATGATAAGGACTGGGGTACATTTATCGAGAGTCACAAATAATCCTTCAAAGAGATGCATGTGGTTCACGAGCTGCAGATTGGCCCCCCCTGATTAAAGTCAAAAGTCTTTAATCCGGATTCGTTGGGACTTCGGTGATTCTGGATAATTGGTTTTTCTGGATTATAGATCTAGTTTAAATTGGTAGATGGCATGCAGAAACTATAAAATTAAAAATATAAAAGTAATTTATGAATAAAGAGCATCATGATCTAAGGGTATCAAAATTTACAAAAAAAAAAAAAAAAAAAAAAAAAGCTTAATATTTATTGTTTACTTTATATTTTTAAATATTTCTTTCAACACGCACATGCGTATAATATACATTATGCATTAGTCGAAATTAGAAAATTGCAGCCAGAAAACTATTTGATGTGTATTCGTGATATTTATAATGACGAGGAATATCATTTAAATCATATCAAAGACGGAGTACATCGAGATGAAATACTACATTTAGTAAGGAATTATAAGCCGAATAAAATAAAAACATCTGCCCTGAAGATAAGGATAGTGCTGACAGATCAACTTCCAGCTCATTGCGCGCCACGACATCCCCTCTCTCCCCCCGCAGAGCAGCGTGAAATTGATAAACAGATTTTGGAATGGTTAGAGAAACAAAGGATATGCCTTTATCCATTTTTTGCAGCAATTCCACTTTTTGTTTGATGGACATTGAAGCATGCTTTCGTTTTGTAGATCCTTTGTAGATCCAGAATTGGAAATTCTTTTTGACAGAATCGAAAGTTCAAGCTTACTTTTATAAAATTGCTCTAACAGTCTGTAAAAAATAATAAGCCGGATCCAATTTGAAGATTAAGGAACAACGCAATCTGCAACATTAACTGAAATAGATAATTAAATAATTTTAGCTTAGCTTATACCGCCTGTTATACATTAAATGCGCATGTGTAAATGTATTATGCGCATGCATAAATGCATTATGTGTTTAGGCATGCGCAGAAAGTTTGTAGCTTTGAGGTCCAGATTAAAGACTTTTGACTGTATATATATTTCTAAATTCAACCACACAGCAAGCATGTAAATATTAAACTGAACTAGCATATAATATTGTTTGGGTTTAATCCAGAATTGTAGTAAAATAATACAAGCATTATACTATATATATGTAATAAAAAAAAATTCATACTTTTCAATTATATTAGGTAATGATATATCTTACCTATTACAGATAAATTACTAACAATCTACTATGAGAAGCACATTAGATTGCACATAATCAAGATTACCAGATATTAAATATACATATAAACTTTTTCAAATATTCAATTTCTTTTTTAAATGGCTTTTTTAAATTATATTAGATATATATTTTATAAATCTGTATTTATTATATTTTCTTTATTTATTATTCATTTTTGTTCTACTATTTTAATCGACTATAACAATTATTTAAAATTCTTTTAAATTGATAATTTAGTAAATAAAAATCTTTAGAGATATATAATCGATTCGAATAAAGTAGCTGAATTTTTAATCGGCTGGAGCCAACACCTCGTTGGGCAGAGAACACAATCTGGTAAGTAAATTCCATGATGTGCTTCCATCTATCCATGAAAGGATAAGTTAAATATACCATGAATACCCTTAGTTTATTTCTATAAAATGGTTGAATGATTCGGTTCTGGATTTGTTTTTCTTAGAATATATAATTTTTTTAAAACACTTTGGTGGCACACAAAAGTGCCATTGCACAGTGGTTGAGAATCAGTGCCCTACACCATGACATGCTTCTGAAATTTATCTAGTCATAATAAACAGTTTCAGTTCAGAGAAATAAAGAGTAAGAACTTTATTTCTTAATTTTAAACTCATACTTTCCTGCTATTTTCATTCACAATGCTTTTGGCAAAGATCAATGTAGAGGAGTCTCCTAAAATAATAACTTTAAAACACAACAATACTACTCATAATTCTTGTATTATATAATCTATGAATATTCTCTATGACTGCACAGATTTCTTTAATTTGAATGAATCTGGGAGTAGCACACTGCCATTTATAAAAAAATTTCTCTAAAACCTCAATTTTGGAAGAATCTGTGAACAAACATCATTTGTTCATCTGTTGTATATGATGCTCAAGCTTTTTGCAATACTACTAACATTATAACAACAAATGAGATCTTTTTTTTTTTTTTTTTTTTTGAATAAATTGTGCAAAACATTTCCTCAAAGTGTTTCCATTGTTGCAGTTTAGAGGCCAATACTTCTACTTTATTATCGGGCAATTCGGATATCATAGAAGATTGTTCAGTTCTTCCTCATCTTGCATACAGTGGCTCAAACAATTGAGAATAACCTTTTATATGATAAATATAACTTTTATTATTCACACATTGCCAAGAAGAGCAAGCACGTATTTATTTATACACATAACAAATAGTTTAATTTAAATTAAAAATAAAGAATAGTTAACCAAAAAATTCTAAAATGAAAAAAAAATTCAGAAGCATTTTAAATAAACATAGGCAGATTTTTGCCTAAAAAAATTAAGAATATACCAATGAAATTTTTGTGATATCTCACATACAGAGAAAGTGTCAATATTTTGTTGCATGTCCTTTGGCTTTTATGATCTCTTTCAAACATTAAGGTACTTATTCAACCAGCATTTTGCTCGCATCTGAAGATATTTTATCCCATTTTTCTTGGAAGAATTATTTTAAATGTGCTTTGTTTTTAATTCTGTGTTTTTGGACCGCTTTTTCGTGTGTGGCCCATAGCTTTTCTGTGACACTGATTAATGTCTGGGCACTATGGTGGTATGTATAACTGTCGTTTACAATGAAAAAGACAGAACATTTTGATGTTATCAGCTATGTGTTTGGGGTCATTGTCATACTGGAATACGAAATTTCCATCGAAAACTAACTTTTTAGCACTTCCTTTTAATGTGAAGTACATCCAAGTAAACCATAAGATTCACAATGCTATCTATAAAAAAGAAATTTTCTAACCCAGTTGAAGCCATACATACAACCATAAACCACAACGAAGTCACTACCATGTTTAACTATATGATGTAAATTTTTTGGATCCAAAACGGTGTTGGACTTTCTGCATACAGTGCGACAGCTGTCACTGCAGAAAACGTTGAATTTATTTTCATCAAAGAATATGTAGTGGTACCTTAGGTAGTGGGTGACCAACAGCAATTGTTAGCCGTCAGTTTGTGACATCATAATCTGGTGGTTGGACTTCTGAAGGTTGGACTACCAGCTTCTTTATGACAAACTGAAATAATGCTTACATATGAAGAACACACTGGCCTTTTCAGCAACTTGTCTGATTTCTTTTAATATATGATTACAAATGTATGCTACATTGTACTGTCGATAGAACAATACAGACTACTATAGACAGAATACTACTACTACAGAATAATACAGAACATCTTTCTTCATTTGATCTTTGGACATATAGCACATTATATTGAGATTATTTTGACACAATATATCATGACTTTTGTCATGCTATCTAACCTTTTGTGCTGGTATGAATAAACAGACTTAAATGTATTACAGAAAGTGGCTCATCAGAAGATAGTGCAAAAATTATAATACAATATGTTGAAATACAAAATAATAAAACCTATGTACATAAGTTTTTAAGTACATAATACGTACATAAGTTTTCAGGCAAAATAATTAGCAAGCAATATATTATACATGATTTACATCTAGCATAAGAACCATTGAAACAAGAGCAGTATCAATGAAAGAGTTGAAGGATATGTATGAACACAAAATCTAATACAGACCAGTCCTTATATTTGCAACACAGTATACACCTAGATCTTACAGTATGCACTTTTCAAAATTTTCTTCCAACATAAATCTTTCTGCCGCTTTTCTCGACTTTTCAATAACATTTTTATCCATTTAAACATCTAAAAAATGTCTCAAACATTTACAAAAAAAAAAATTCACAAACTTGAAAAACGGTTCTCATTCACATTCTTTCCATTAAGTGAAGCATGTCAAAATCTGTATGAGCATCAGCTTTCTACTACAGTCAAAAGTCTTTAATCCGGACTCGTCGAGACTTCGGCGATCCCGGATTATAGATCATCAGTTTAAATCTGTTAAGATGGCATGCAGAAATTATAAAATTAAAAATATGAAACCGTAATTTATGAAATAAAGAGCAATTATGATCTAAAGGGCATCAAAATTTACAAAAAAAAAAAGCTTAATATTTATTTATTTACTTTATTAAACATTTCTTTCAACGCGCGCATGCGTAAAGCATACATTATGCATAGTCGAAATTGGAAAATTGCAACCAGAAACTATTTGATTTGTATTCGTGATATTTATAATGATGAGGACTTTGATTTAAATCATATCAAAGACGGAGTACATCGAGATGAAATACTACACTTAGTAAGGAATCATAAGCCGAATAAAATAAAAACATCTGCCCTGAAGATAAGGATAGTGCTGACAGATCAACTTTCAGTTCATTGCGCGGCGCAACGTCCCCCCCTTACGCAGAGCAGTGTGAAATTGATGAACAGATTTTAGAATGCTTAGAGAATCAAAGGAGCCTTTATCCATTTTTTGCAGCAATTCCACTTTTTGTTTGATGGACATCGACACATGCTTTCCCTTTGTAGATCCAGCATCGCAAATTCTATTTGACATAATCGAAAGTTCGAACTTACTTTTATAAAATTGCTCTAACAGTCTGCCAAAAAGCCGGATCCAATTCGAAGATTAAGGAACAATGCAATCTGCAACATTAACTGAAATAGATAACTAGACAATTTTAGCTTAGCTTATACCATCTGTTACACATTAAACGCGCATGCGTAAACGTATTATGCGCATGCGTACATGCATATGAACATGCGCAGAAAGTTTGTAGCTTTGAGGTCCGGATTGTAGATCATTCCGGATTATGGGTGTCCGAATTAACGACTTTTGACTGTAATAATTATAATTATACAAACTACTATATGCTACTTTTTTAGCATTCGTGGTTATAATCTTTATAAACAGAGTTTTCTTAGGTTTGAGCAAAGAGTTAATTATTCTAATTTTTTAAATTTATAATTTGTAATAATATAACACATAATTTACACCATAATACTACAATTATAAGATTTGAAAAAATATACATTCTAAATTGTTAACTAAATTTTGCTTTTATTTTGAATTTTATTGTAAATTAGTGAACAGTTTAAAAAGATATTTTAATAGAGCTTGATTGTAAATTTTACAGTTATTTCAGTACTTGCGTATTATCGCAACCACCTTAGTAGAAGACACTAGATTCTCAGAATGTGTCAAAGGTTTGGCAACCATGGACATAAACATTCTTCAGGCAATATGCTTATAATAATTCTTTAGTCTAGCAGTGTCACCATTTTTGTATGCATTCTTTTTGTTGTATTCCAAGTTTCAATGGTTTATTATAGGCAAATTGTAATATTTTTGCCTAGAATTCAATCTTAAAATACTGCTTGTGGAATCTACTACTACAGAAAAAACTGCAGTAAATGTTCTGCAGAAATAATCTTTTACCAGAAAATCGCTACAGAGAGCAATGATGAAATGAGTCTGGTAGACAGCCCATGAGCAATGCAAAGTTTGTGGAATCCTTTGATGTCTTTTAAGTGAAAATGGATCAATGTGTTCATGGGGAAAAGAACACAGCTCAGAATTCAAAGAAAAATTTCTTTTACTTTTTTAATTCATTTTATTTAATACTTAAAATGTGTAGTTTAGTATGTGTTTTCTTTTGATATGTTGATAATGTTCACCAATTTACAATAACTATTCATAGTTTGGGAAATTTTCTAAAAAAAGTCGGAAACAGCCAATTTACACCTGTAAATAGTTTTTACTTTTTCATCTGTGAAAGACTCATATTGCGCAAAGGTGGTTGCGTTCATGCATCAGCACCATTATTTCTTTTAGTAATATCATTTGTAGAACACATACACTAAATACAGTAATTAACTGCTGTACACAATAATATGGATCATATATTTAAAAAAATATTACCAGGATGATCAAAATTATATTTTCCCTTAGCAGCTTTTTTCTTTTCTTCACACGTTAATTCTTTGTAAAAACTATCTTGGCTAATACATATAACTTGACGTTGCTGATGATCCACAGAATATTGTCCAACTTTATCCATAATTTTTTGGCATACTGTAGACTACAAAAAAAAAAATTAATATGAAAATTCTTTCACAAAATATCAATAAAATACTGAATATATATATAATGATTATATAATTATAATGAATATTATATATATATATATTGAATGTTAGAAAGAGAATAAACAATCTTCTCATTATCAAAAAGAAATAAAGTTTGCTTTCACTAAAGGATAATATAATTTAAGTAAATATTTGTATTTATTTACTTATACTTTGATACACATTTGCTTTCTACGTATTTTGCATTATTATGTACAATAGAACCTCTATTAATTAAGGACTTAATTTAGCCAGCAATAAATGTAAAGAAATCATTGGGAGTATGTACTAACATCAGAAATTGTACAACCAAAATCAATACCTTATAAATTCTCTTAGCTCTGATTATCTTTTGGCCTTTATAATCAACGATAGGTCATTTAGTGGCCTTCTTATTGTGCATTACAATACAAATTGTGGTTGTTTTTTTTTTTTTTTTTTTTTTTTTTTTTTTTTTTTGTTTTTTTGTTGTTGTTTGGTAAATTTTGATACTTTTAAAATCATAATTGCTCTTTTTCATAAATTACGGTTTCATATTTTTAATTTTATAATTTCTGCATGCCATCTTACCAGATTTAAACTGATGGTCTATAGTCCGGAAAAACCCCTAATCCGGAATCGTAGAAGTCCCGACGAGTCCAGACTTTGTACTCTATTCTAAAAAAACCAAATTCATTTAGAATGTAAAGAAAAAGCTGATAAATATGAAATGATGTATGGTAAGGGCTGGTTTCAGGGCCAATGAGGCAGAATTTTTATAATTTAGTGACACACCGAACAACAAAATCTAGAAATGGCAAAACTTTTAGAATTAAGGACAGGCAGTGGGAGCAGAATGTAAGATCCACGGAAATTGCATCATATGAGAAAATACCTTGTGTCAGCCCTGTGTATGATCTATTGAGACATATAGGGTTGGGGCAAATAAATGTGGCTCGGAAAGCAGAAATTCTGTTCTCTGGGCCACTTTTATTTACCCCAACCTGTATAAGGTGAATCTTTTAAATTGTCAGTTTTCAATGTCTTTATTAATAGAAAAATTCTTTTTTATAAATGCCTGTCCATGCAAAAAGATTAGAAAACATTTTTGGTATTTTTCATACTAGTGTCTATTGAAAAGTTGAGAAAATAAAGGGAAGATAAGCATGTTAAGAAAATTCTAGTATCAGAAGTACAACATTCAAACATGTTTTCACTGCCCTTCCAAAAATTCTCCAAATTTTAAGAAATTCATCACAAACTTTCTGTAAAATACATCCATTATGTGTTAATACAATGAAGACATTTTCATTTTATCAATTTTTTCTGAAGTCTTCTAGAATTGTGGGTCTGTAAATCTTGCCTTCAAATCCTTCTAAACTTTCCAAGTTGCAATGTATGAAATCCTAAAGAAAAAATAGCCCTACCAATTCTGCAAGAGAAAAAAAAGCTAGAAAATATTTTGAAAAAAAAAAAAAAAAAAATCGGTGAAAAAAGTGTAAAATTAATTTATGCGACTTTATAATATGATAGCAAAAGAAAATAAAAATGCTTTATTTTAATCTTATTCCTTAAATGTAATTTAAATATATTGCCATTATTTTAGTTAGGTTTATCAATGTTTCCAAAAAAATTGTCGGAAAATCTCCAGATCTCCGAATTAAAAATTTTCTACAGATATTAATCTTAAAATCGCCAAATTTAGAGTCATTTAATAAAAGAATTCACATCCCCAAAAGCAGAAAGTTGTTTAAATGCTCTTCATTAGAAAAAAATGAAATAATTTTGAAATGCTTATGTTTGGCTCCTTGCTATGAAACTCCAGAATCCCACCCTCTACATTAGAAATTGGAACAAATTATAACCCATGTACCCATTCAAAAGATAATCATATTTGTAGTGAATTATCAAAAATATTCCTCCATAATGATAATTCACACTAAAAACAGCAGTCGTAAAAACAAGACAGAAATTTTAGATGATTAAAATTAAGGACCTTCTGCCGATTTTGGACGAAATTCAGGATTTTTAAGGACCAAAAATCGATTCCAAAAAACCTAAGGACTTTTATGGACTGTATGAACCATGATGTATGTTTTTTGCATTGTGATAAAACAACAGTACCTAGCGCCATCAAATTTTGAATGACGTAATCTTACTGCGAATATGGGCATCAGGAATCCCAAATTTGAAATTTGTTTTATTATCGAATTTATATTTTGTAAAACAAATTTTTGATTAACAAACTCAGGGATTTCAAAGCGAGCGATGGCAATGTTGTAGACAAAAAAACACTTTTATCTCCAGTGTGCGAGACTGTGTATCGGAAATTCTAAAGATATGCTCAATTTAAAATTATTTCGCTATATTGCTCTTGAACTGAAATTTATGGTTTAAGTGTAAAGAAGATGATATTTAATAAATAAAGGTAAAATATAAAGGTAACACACAAAATGTTAAAAAAACGCCCCTTTGAACGTAATTTAAAATCTGAACCTTTAAGATTTTCCTTCTCTCTCTTTTTATATATATATATTTGGTACAACTCTGATATACGTCCTAATTTCCCCAAATGTGGCGATATGTGCTCTGCGCTGGTTTTTGGCATGATTGCGGGTTGTATGGCAACCCTGTTGACTTTGAAAAATCTTTCGCTGGTTCACGTCATGCTCTGTGTCTGGGAAGCTAGGGGGGGAGGGAGAAGATAATGTGTGTGCGTGTGATTATGGCAAAGCCTCGAGGGCTATCTGCCTAAGGAAGGGATGCCTTCGTAGAGGACTTTCTAAGGGAAACTGGCTCGTATACACGTTACACATGGGGAAAACCATGAAAACGCCCATGCAGCTAGCCCGTTTGTGGGATTCGAACCTCGGACCGAACTACCAGTGTTCGGCGACTTTATCGCTCGGCCGCTGGTGGGGGGGAGATAAAATGGTGGAAGTTGTTGAATTGAAGTTCGGCAAAAGGAAATATCGTCGTGGCCATCCTGTTGAGGGGCAGTGGGTATTTGGAGATGTGGAAAGAGGGTTTGGGAGATTGTTTTTAGTGGCTATGCATGATAGAAGTAGGGATTTGTGATTATTTGTTATTTTATTTATTTGTGAACCATAGTATGAATTTTCTGGATAGTGTGTCTGGCTGTCATATAATTACGATAGTGATTACGTGGCAGTATGAGATTAGTATTTCTGCTGTTCGAAAAAGCATTAATTCATGGTAAGTGCATTTTATTTTATTATTATTCTTATTTTGTAGAATGTTATGTTCATTGTTTAGTATGAACTTCTGTTGTTAGTGTTGTTTTTTGAATTGTTTGAAATTTATTTTAATTATTTTGTTGATTGGTGCGTACCGTCTAAATTGTGCAAATTCGTAGATGTTTTTTAAGTTGAAACAGAACGCTGTATACATGATATTCTTTGAAATTTATTGTTGTTATGTTAATTTATTAAAGTGAGATGTACGTACTTCGTAGATTCGTTTGTTACCTGAATTGTGCAATTCGTAGATGTTGTTTTAAGTTTAAACAGAATGCTGTGTACATGGTAGTCTTTGAAATTTATTGTTCTTATGCTAATTTATTAAAGCGAGGTGTGGGTAGTTCGTAGATTCATTCGTTTCCTAGATTGTGCCATTCGTAGATTTTTTTTAAGTTAAAACATATCGCTGTGTACATGGACTCGTCAAATAATTTTGGTGAGAAGCTTTACGATTTTGCTATCTAAATTTTTTGTTTTTGTTTCAGATTTTTAGCTTAAATTTGTGTTCAAAACGTGGTTTTTGCATTCACATAAACCGTGTTTTTGAAGACATTTTAGGCTTAAAGTTCGAAATGTAGACAAAAAATTTTAGATAGCAATATGGCAGCGTGGAGTTTCTTGCCAAACATTTTTGGCGAGAAATTTGGCGACTTGAGGGTGCATATCAGAGTAGTTCCATTTATTTATTTATATATATATAAATCCCCATCCTTTGTCACACGACAAGTTGGAGAGCATTGAAAAGTGCAAGGGGGAAATACTAGCCCTTTTCGAGTTTCCTCGTCACCAGAGAAGACAGCATTGATACAGGTCTGATTTTTATAATTTTTCTCTTAAAGTTTTTACTTGGTCTTAGCAAGACCCATACTGGTTGTCGCCTAGATTATTTTTTCCTTTTACATTTAAATTTAATTTCCGGTTCGTTTGTAAAGTTTTAATTCTTTAAGCTTGCAGTTCCAGCCCATTTGTTATTATATATTTTGACTAATAGCATACCGCTATTTATTTATTTTTATTTTTGCTGTACATTAAAATTGCATTTACATTTTTTTTTTTTTTTTTACACCTTAATGTGTCAATATACGTGGACGCGTTGGGAAATTGGAACAGAGAATTGAGACTAAAAAAAATGTTCTTTTAGACAGTTTATTTAATTAATTAAAAAATTTTGTAGCGCAAAGTTTCAATTGTCTGTTTCGGTGAAACGCGTAATGGGGTTAGCTTGGTTCGATGTTCATTTAGAAATTTCCCTTGAAAGGAGCCAGAATGGACCTCGAATTGGGTTAATTAACCATTTTCTGCTTTTTAATTTTAATATATTTTTTTGCCTTTTACACTGTTCAATCGATTAATATTTTACTGTTTTTTAATTTACTTTTTATTTCGCATATAGCCTATCATTTTACCTCCTTCAATTGATTTGTTTTTATACTGTGTCAAAATTTCCGTAAATGTTTAGCATATAGCTTTTATTAATCGAACTTCTAAATATACACATTTTTTTCAATTTTCACACTTTCCATAACTACTATATATGCTTATATTGGAGTTTTCTTGGAGCCACAGCTTTTGGTAATTTTTTGGCGAGCTTACTAAAATTTATCTTCTCATTTCCTTAATTTTGCAGCACAATGCGCAAAAAGTTTTGACCAAAATTGGTCTTTTAAGTATTGTTCTTACAACTTTTCTTATAATATATATCTAGTTTTAATTACTGATTTGTTCCTAATTCCTAATATATACTACGCACATGCACACATACACAGGTAATTATATACATGAATATAAATTATCCATACATACATCTCTGAATTCAGTCCTGATAACAGAAGAGTACCTAAATTTCAAATAGTTACTTTCAGCATTCATGCTGCTCTGACTTGAACTTTTTGAAAATTTGCTGTTTCAAGTCAATATTTTTTTGATTTCAACGTAGATTAAATTAGAAATATTTACAGATCTCTTCTATAGACTAGACCTCTACAACTTTTAGCATACATACAATAAATCCATTTGTGAAATATAAATAAATTAAATTATATGGCTTACATATACCGAACATTCTTTACCTAGCTTATACAGAATATCTGAACATGGTATTCGAAAAACAATACATTTACTAGGGGATGTTTACTATTTTCTGAATACTGCCGTTAATATAATCCATTACGGGAAGTAAGAGAGACACAGTTGTTCGTTATTTACCTTTCCAGACGCAGTTCCACCGGCCACACCAATCAAAAATGGACTTTTTGAATCAAAACCATCGAAACCATTATAAATTTTATGTCCGTTACTGTTTGCTCGAAATGCCATTTCGACAAAAAAAGATTATAACTATTAAACCAAAGAATTTGTATGTGATGTTGTTACAAATTCTTTGCATTAAACATACATTCAGCAGAAAGAACATAAACAATAAATGCCAGTTAAAGTGTAAGTAGCTGCTCAGTGCTTTCTGCGAAATAAGCTGGTCGGATAGAACAGCAATGTCCTTTTTTTTTTCTTAAATCTTCAGTTTAATGATAAATAAAATAACAGAAAAGGTACTTTCGCTTGGAATTTTATTCCCTATGTCATGAGCTAAATTTGAGATTTCTCAATAATAGGTTTTCCTCTCTTGGGCTATTTCTTGAGAATATTTATTGACTGTATCTAATCAAAGCCAACTGCCCAGTTTTCAGTAGGCTTCGAGATATTGGTCACTAGATGGAGATATATTTTGGTTATATATTCAACTTTATTAGTTCCCCATTTATTACAAAAAGTATATTTTACACTTTTTTCTATATTGGAGTTTTACAAAATTCCGCAAATCGGAACTATGTTTTACGGCATTACCGGATATGTACTTTTGATATCGCTGTTGGCAACAAAGCTTTGCAGACCATTTGGCGTTAGTTTGTGTTTTCAGTTACACAAAACCGCACACGTGCATTAGCGTCTTAGCTTAAAAAATGGAAGATAATTAATCTGTACAAAACCTGTGGCTGTGATGTTCAAACATCGACGGACGATTATCATCTGCATCAGTATGCAGTATGCATTTATTATTCCTTGAGCCACGCAAGTAAATCTTGATGTCATTTTAGACCATACATTAACATTGTTAAACCAATTCCTCAATACATAGCAAAAATCGCGAATATTTTTGGAAAAAAGTGCTTTTAGTAACGCTAAAAGAAAGAGCCGGCGCATTCCTCCATAAAATCTGTAGGTAAGCAACCTTAAAAAAGTTTTCAACTAAGTATTTCGTTTCCGGCGCAAAAGTTTTGAGACGTAGCAGATTAACGGTTCCTAGTCTTCAGCGTTGTACACACCATGTTTCTGCTTTTAGAGAATGTGGAAGCACTTCCGCAGAGAACCCGGTAAATGTAAACATCGCCAACTTTGGCGATAATAGTTCAAACTTGGTAACCCATCGGATTTATCGCATTCGCTTGTTTCGTTGTTCGCATTTGCAGATTTATATTATTATTCTCTTATTTATTATTATTTTTTCTGAATTTCTTAACAACGAATAGATAGAAATATTTTCGTAGATGGAAGCACTTCAGAGAACCCGGTAAATGTAAACATCGCCAACTTTGGCGATAATAGTTCAAACTTGGTAACCCATCGGATTTATCCTATTCGCTTGTTCGAAGTTTGCAACCATTCTCTTGCGTTTATCTTGTTGAATTAACACTGTCGTTGTTCGCATTTGCAGATTTATATTATTCTCTTATTTATTATTATTTTTTCTGAATTTTTAACAACGAATAGATAGAAATATTTTCGTAGATAGATGCGGGTTCTCGGTTCGGGATGAAAGGAGGGGTGAATGCTAATTTGTAACACGGCTGTTCACGATGTATTCTTAATTATTAACAGCTCTAAGAACCATGAGGTTTCCAAAGTCTAAAATAATTTGATTTCGTAGACCGCAAAAATGTGCATGTGCATTTTAAATAATTAAGTAATGCTTTTATTTTTATTATTGGTTATTGTCATCTAAAATTATGAGAATAAATCAATTTTTATGGCGTAAAATTTTAACAACATAAAATATTGTTAATGCTTTTCTAACAATAACCTTTCAGAGGATGGCAGGTGTGACATAAATAGATGATTAAATTGACATAAAAAATATTGATTATCTAAGATGTCAGAATAGTTCGATGCATCACCATGGTCATCAAAATTAGCAAACCACTGCTGGTGTAAGGAATATATTGTTTTCTGTGTTAACTGGAATTTAAGACAAATTTTTTTTTATATCACGGTTAACCGGTTAATTTCAGTATATTAATACTAATTTATATTTGTTTAAATAAATTTTTATTTCCGTTATAAATCCTTAATATTGTCTTATGCTTAATATATTTTTTCTGTGCTAACTGAATTTAATACACATTTATTTTCGTATATATCACATTTAATCATTAGTTTTACATCTACATGCTTATTATCTGTGAATTTTTACTACCATATGCTTAATATATTGTTTTGTCTGCTAATTTGAATTTACATGCACTAAAAATCACGTTTACAAATATATCACGTTTATGGCTCGGCTCGGTCATCGTCGATGAACGGCGAGCTTGGCGAGTAAAAATGCAACGGCGCCAACAGGTTCTTTCCCGACGCACCAATGGGTTCTCTGCGGATGAAAACCCTCGTAGATAGATGCCGGTTCTCGGTTCGGGATGAAAGGAGGGGTGAATGCTAATTTGTAACATGGCTGTTTACGTTGTGTTCTTAATTATTAACAGCTCTAAGTCTAAAATAATTTGTTTTCGTAGACCGCAAAAATGTGCATGTGCATTTTAAATAATTAAATAATGCTTTTATTTTTATTATTCTCATCTAAAATTATGAGAATAAATCAATTTTTATGGCATAAAATTTAAACAAGATAATATATTGTTAATGATTTCTAACAATAACCTTTCAGAGGATGGCAGGTGTGGACATAAATAAAATGATTAAATTGAAATAAAAAATATTGATTATCTAACGATGACAGAATAATACGTTTGATGCATCACCATGGTCATCAAAACTAGCAAACCACTGCTGGTGTAAGGAATATATTGTTTTCTGTGTTAACTGGAATTTAAGACAAATTTTTTTTTCATACATCACGTTTAACCGGTTAATTTCAGTATATTAATACTAATTTATATTTTTTAAATGAATTTTTATTTCCGTTATAAATGCTTATACAGTCAAAAGTCGTTAATCCGGACTCGTCGGGACTTCGGCGATTCCGGATTATAGATCATCAGTTTAAATCGCATAAGATGGCATGCAGAAATTCTAAAATTAAAAATATGAAACCCTAATTTATGAAATAAAGAACAATTATGATCTAAAGAGTATCAAAATTTACAAAAAAAAAAGCTTAATATTTATTTGTTTACTTTATTAAACATTTCTTTCAATGTAAGTTGTTTAAGTTGCTTCGTTTTATGTGATAATACTTTCTCTTTAATTCTATAAACAGACATAATTTTTTGTTCACTTACAAAGTTCCGTTAATTGCTGTGCCGAGAATACCAACTAACTTGTCAATCGAAATTTTTTCGTTTTCACTAACCTCTCTGTCACATTCTTCATGTCATTATCCATTTTTTGCAGCAATTCCACTTTTTGTTTGATGGACATCGAAACATACTTTCGTTTTGTACGATCCTTTGGGAGCTCCAGAATCAAAAATTCTATTTGACATAATCGAAAGTTCAAGTTTACTTTTATAGTATTGCTCTTACAGTCTGCAAAAAAAAATAAGCTGGATCCAATTTGAAAATTAAGGAACAACGCAATCATCAACATTAACTGAAATAGATAATTAGATAATTTTAGCTTACGTCCGTTATACATAAAACGCGCACGCGAAAACGTATTCTGCGCTTGCGCACACGCAAATGCGCAGTCGTAAGAGGTCTTACGCGCACGCATAAACGCCTATGCGCATGTGTCAACGCGGCGTATGCGCAGAAAGTTTTTAGCTTTGAGGTCCGGATTATAGATCATTCCGAATTATAGGTGTCCGAATTAATGACTTTTGACTGTATATTGTCTTATGCTTAATAATATATTCTTTTCTGTGCTAACTTGAATTTAATACAAATTTATTTTTGTATATCACGTTTAACCGTTTAGTTTTACATCTACATGCATATTATCTGTTAATTTTTACTATCATATGCTTAATATATTGTTTTATCTGCTAACTTGAATTTACATGCACTAAATATCACGTTTACAAAATATCACGTTTATGGCTTGGCTCATCGTCGATGAACTGCGAGCTTGGCGAGTAAGAATGCAACGGCGCCAACGGGTTCTCTGCGGATGAAAACCCGAGAATGTTGATGATGCATTGTACATTATAAATTGGTTAAAACTCAGAGTAATACTTCTTTTTCTAAGTTTTTCGTCCGATCTTTAGAATATGGTAACTGGTAGTCTGGCGACATTTTGGAGACGGTAAAGGTTACTACCTGGGACTTTGGTAATAATGTGAGCAGTACTCAGTTCCGATTACGTATTATTTTGTGTGAGGGAAATGAGAGATCATGGGATATGTCATGTGATATTAATGGATGAATTACGGTTCTTTAATCGGAAAAGGGGGAAAATCGGGAAAAAAATCTGGAAATTTTGTATTTGGCTTTATTCTGTGTTGTGTTGAAACAGTGTTCGTTAATTTTTGGATCCCAGGGCCCTAACTAAAGTGAATTCAAAATGGGTATTTAGTGGGATTGAAAGGGGGTAGTAATAAGTGTTTCTTTAAGGTTGTGCGAGATAAAGTAAAGATGTTTTATTAAGTTATTTTTTTACCTGGTACCTTGCTGTGAACTAAAAGTATGATTTTAAAGATCCTGAAACAGAAATAAGAAAAGTTTATCGGACATGTAATCAAGATTCTGAAGAAGATTAGGTAAGTTAGTATTTTTAATTATTTGAGGATATTATTTTTATGCATTGTTCTAAATGTAAGGTAGAAGTAAAGTAATTTGCGTAAACGTGCATGAAAATAATTTAAATATTTGAGACTAAGTATTTGTAACCATTTGTAATGTTTGCGGTATGAATTAGTTAGTGACGTTGTAATATAATAGATAATGTAGAGGTAAAAGTTTTTGGATATTTATTTATTTTATACGGGGGAAATGTTCATATTTGGAAGGGTATATACTTTTTCGCGATCAGGTAATTTCATATATGTTCTTTTTACCGGGTTTAAAGATTCAAAAAATTGGTCATGTATTTCGTGAAATTTTTCTAATTTATGAGAAAAAAGCAGTGTACATGGATATAGTGAAGAGTGTGCGCAATGTCATTTTTGTGCAATTCTGGGATGTTTTTTTAAGTAAAAATAAGTCAATTTGTACATGGTTTATGTGTATGTGTCATTTTGAAAAACGCATAAGGAGT